TTAATAATAAAACCCATAAGCATTATAACTAGCCTTTATTGATTTTGCTTACACCAATACATAATATCCCTCTCTCTTCTCTCTCACACACACATACACAAATGCTGTAAGTTAATTCCACTCTAAACACCTGCAGTTTAAATGACAAGAACTCTAAAATAACAGAAATCAGCATATGCCCAGACACCTACTGAAGGGAAAGTTAGTCTATACCACCATCTAGTGGCCACAGAATACAACACTGAAAACAGAGAATACTTATCCCTGAAAACAGAGGGGTCCTAAAGGTTGCAGGTGGAGCTAATGCCCTCCTGGTCAATTGAGCCAGTGTCAGATCCACCTCTCCTGCTACCTTCTACACATTTGCCTGAGGCTTATCTTTGGACAAGACCAAGCAGGAACACCATTAAGTACATTCTTCCCTTTGGCCACTTCATGTAATTCCACCACCCTTCAACTAAGTGACACCTATTTGTTACGAAAGATGTAGAAATGCATTGTCACACTCATCAGACCACATGGAAATGATAAAAATTTATCAAAAAAGCCTCATACACTTCTATTAAGTGCACACATTTACAAAATTGTTTGGTACTTTTTCATAATGATGAATATGGACATATCTTAAGATGCAGCAATTCTATTCCTAGCTATATACCCTAGCCAATAATTTATGTGTAATCTCCAGTACAAACAGCCAGAAGTCTATTGATAGAATTCAGAGAGTCTAGTTACTTCAATGGGTAAAAGTAATATCTTTATTGTCCCCAACTTGTAAATGAAATTAAGCATTTGTTGTAGCCATCAGTTTTACTCCTCATGGTCTGTATTCTCCTCTGAGCTGTCCCCTCTATCTTTATGCTGGGTAATGAGGTAATGAGCCTCAGGTAATGAGGCTCAAGAGATGGCCAAGCCAGTGAGTAGAAAAAGTCTGAGTCCCTACTCACCATTAAAGAAGGACTGCCTGCCAACTAGGAAAAACCCCTTTAGATTCTTAAGGAACAAGAAATAAAGACTTACTATGTTTGAGGAATTACATATTTAGTGTCTATATTTACAGCAGTTTAGCCTATCTTAGCTAATATATTATTGAAAAGGTGAACCACATGAAGGAACAACAAACGGAGGGTCAGAACCAATCTTAAACAAATAAATCAGGTGAATAGCTACCCACCAAATACTGAGATAATCCACCTTTCCTCCTCAGTCACAGGAAACTGAAACAAGAATTACAACTCACAGATGGAACACTGGATATTTCCACTCAGGGTAAAAGACTAGACTAAGATAAATCACTTACAGATACTGACAGATGAAGGGTGAGGGTTCAATGAAAAGAGGCCACTTAAATCCTGCAGTGGACTCAACTACTTAATAGGCACCACTCACACTCAAAGAGCTTTTAGACTTTAATATTGTCTCACTTGATAACATGATACAATAGCCAAGGATCACAAATGGAAAAGGATTTTAGGGAAAACTCCACTACCAAAAGTAGAAGATAAATCAAATAAATATAAAACATAACAAAACAAATAATGCAGAAAGATTTAAAACAATGACTATTTTAAAAGTAAAACATCTATAATTAATATCCCCAGAGAGACAGACAAACAAAATCCATGAAACAAAAAGAGGATACTATTTCTGGAAAAAGAAAGGGAAATAAATGTTCTGAGGAAGAGATTTTTTTTTAAAAAGGGAGCTCTTAGGAATAAATATTGTAAAATAGAATTTTAAAACTTTAAAAATTTCAGAATACCAGGGACAAATATAAAAAAAAGAAAAAAAAAAGAGGAAGATAAAATCATGATACTTTCCTCATAAAAGACTAAACCAAAATGGTATATAAAGGAAAACAGTAGAAAATAAGAAATTAGGGACCAACAGATGGCATAATGGTTATGCTGGAGATTCTCATGTAGTCAACTGCAGTTCAAGTCCCAGACCCAGCAACTTAAAACTCATGTCAGGCACATGTGAGATTATAGCATACACATCCTCCTCTGGAAAGTGATTTCTCGCTTTCTGTCCTTCTGTCTCTTTCTCTCTCTTTGGCAAATGCACAAGCCCAATAGCAAAAATCTCTCTTAAAAAAAAAAAAGAAAATAGAAAATTAGAGAATCAAATCAAGACACAATGTTTAAATGTCCTAAGTTTTGGAGATTGGCAAGGGAAAAAAAGCTGAGAAACACAATAAATTTCCAGTATTGAAGAGCATTCAGATGAGTCTACTGAGTGAGACAAGATGAATGAAAAACAGCTTTAAGACAAATCATTGTGAAATTTCAGAATACCAGGGACAAATACAAAAAAAAAAAAAAATTAAAGCTTCCAAAGAGAGTTGGAAATAAGTATATACAAAGAACCAGCATTCAGAATGTCACGACTCTTTCACTTTTTATCAGAACCTGAAATATAATATTGCATCATTTTAAAAAATATAAAAACAGATTTCTAATATAAAACTTTATACCCATCAAAATTATGAATCAAAAGATTGCTAGAACAGAGCTATTTTTAGAGATGCAAGTTTCAAAATAGTAATTCCTATGAATGTCGTCCTAAAATTTGATGGGATGGGGGCCAGACTGACATAGTGGTTACATTGCTGGACTACCACATGGTCAACCACAGGTCGAGTCCCATATCCAGTGGCTTGAAATTCACACTGGTCACATGTGTGTGTATGCCCAAGATCCCAGGAGGAGAATGGAGATGGGATTGTGGTATGGTCATCTCCCCCAGAGGTGGGGGGGTGATTTCTCACTTTTCCTCTCACTGTCTCTCTCTGTCTCTCTTTCTCCGCACACCCTAAGGTAAAAACCTCTAAAAAAATTTTTTTTGATGGTACAGAGGTAGGGGTAATAAGATCATAAAACAGGAGGTCCCACACAAGGCAAATGAGAGTTTCCAGTTTAACCATGAAAGGAGATCCCAGACCATTGCCATGTCATCTTAGAGATCTCCTAGTAACAACAGATCTAGAGATCTAGGACTCTGAAAAGTTAACCCCAAAAGATGGAACTGGGTTTAATCATAGAAAAGAAAGCTATACCTTTGACAAAGAATTGGGGATTAATAAGTGATAGGTATATAAATAGAGAGAGAGAAGATATATTCACCCTCTAATTAATCAAAATGATAGGTTCGATACCACAGAACAGCAGTTTAAACTAGATGATTTATTTTATCATTATCAAAGAAGAGTAGTCCAGGGCTCCTAGGATGGCCTTCTATGGTTTTAAACACTTAGGCTGCCTCTCTCTTGTTTCATTAACTGAGCATATTCCTTCTATCTCATAGTCCAAGAACTCAAGCCATTACATGGACAGCACACAGAAACAAGGACTAAATAAATAAACAACCCCTCCTTTACCCCTTTAATATCACTTACAGGTTAAAATGCACTGACACTTTCCACTGATCAGATCATAGTCAGGAGGCTACAGTAAGCTGCAAGAATTCAATAGCTGATATTCAAAAAGGGAGTAGAAGAGGTAAAGTGAAATTGAAAAATAGCTAGTAGTCTGTCCTACCTCCCTCCAGCACTTCCCATGATCATCTCCTATTATAGTTTTCTTCATACCATTATTTAATCCTAATCCCTGATTTATTTTCCGCCTTTTTAGGTGCTTTCCCAACCCATATGCTTCAAGAAAATAAGAACTTTGCCTTTGCTCACCTCTGTACCTCAGTTTCTAGTAAAGTACCAGGAGGACAGAAGATATTTAGTAAGTATTGGTTGAATGAGTAAATAATTGTTAATTCCAGAAGGAAAGAAGTCCAAAACAATCAATGTAATCATACAGATCCAGTCCTGACAAATGCTTTGTTTAGTCTTACCTGGTAGACACATATTTGCCTAATAGGGAAAAACTAAGGCGCTCCTCCAGAATTAATTTTTAAAAACCTCCCTTCCTCAGGACAGATGATTCAAAAGTTCTTCCACAAGGTAACAACCAACACAACCAAATAGCCCTGTAATAATTCCCTAATTCTAGTGATGTATGCAGTATCACTTCAACTGGTTCAATAATGTAACTGTTAGCAAGTGTGACATACATAATGTAATCAAATAACCATTTTTTTAAATGTGCATTAGTAGACCAAGGAAGAAGTGCTATGAAGAAGTGGTATGAAGAGACCTAAATCCTAACTGGTCCACGTTAAGAGTTACTATCTATAACTGGAAAAACAAAATCACAAAATAACAGAATATATCTGTAATTTAGAAGGAAAACAAGCACGAAAAGAAAAAGCTCAAGCTGTTGAATGCGCTTATTCTGGAGACCAGTAATCAGAGAGGACTAGTTCAGAGAGTGTGATGTTTTGCTTTTAAGTCTTTTTTTAGAGGTTTTTGCCTTAGAGAGTATGAAGGGGGTGGGGCCAGAGACAAGGAGAGGGAAAATGAGAAATCAACCCCCAGGGAGGATGGCCATACCGCAATCCCTTCTCCATTCTCTTCCCAGGGATTTTGGGCAGGCACCCACACAGCCCAGCGTGATTTGAAGCCACTGATTTGGGACTCAAAATTCAGTGGACCATGTGGAAGTCCAGAGAGGTAACCACTACACCATCTGCTGGTCCCTGAATTTAAGTCTTTAAGAACTTCAATCTGTTGTTCTTAAATTGGGCTTTCTGTCATCAGATTCAGTGCTTCTTTTCCTCTGAGCTCCTGGAAAATTTACACTAAATATTTATTAGGGACCTTCCAGGGTCATAGTGGGGCTGCAATGGGGATTGGGAATACATTTTCAACCCAGAAAACGGAACGCTGCTGGTTGACTACTATATGTCTGTCATACCAAATAAAACTTAACTCCAACAAAAAAACTCCATGATTTTACATACGAAGCACTACATACACACGCACCATCCACCCAACCTTCACGTGGACACACTAACATGTAAGAATTCTACGCAACTGCGCGGTGGAGCAGATGAGGAAGCGAGCTCAGAAGGGGGGACAGGAGCGACCTCAGCATTGAGCTGGTTCGACTTCCGCCTCGGACATCAGGGCCAAGAACCCCCAAGAAAATAACGCGGAACCAAAGGTCAGCGACGACGCCTCAGACCGGCCCCACGCAGGCCCCGCCCACCGCCGCGCCCCCAGGGGTGGGCGGAGCTGACCCGCCCCCTTCCGCCACCGACCGCGGGCGGCTCTCTGCCGAGTCCAGCCGGGAAGCCGCAGAGGGCATCTCGGACAGAACACGGCTGCCTGCCTTCTCAGCGCTGCAAGCCCCGCCATGCTGGCCCTGCGAAGCTGCCTGACTAGGGCGCTGGCCGCGCGGACGCTCGCGCCTCAGGTACCGCCGCTGAGACGCGCCGCCCGCGCATGCGCCCCGCCTCCCCGCCGCCGGGGTCTTGTGCCAGCGGGACGCGGAGTCGCGGCCGGGCCACGAGTGAGGAGGGAGGGCGGCGAAGACCCTCTTGCCGGGGTCCCGAACTCGGAGAACGGGGCCTTTTTCGGCCTCGCAGGCGGTGGTGTCCCTGCCGACCGGCAAGGTCGGGCCTGAAGCTCCCGGATCGCCCGCCACGTTGTCGCCAGGCCTGGCCGGGCTTGGGTCGGGCCTCCTGGTTTTACCAGCCAAGGCCCCGTCCACACTGCAGGTAGACGGAGGAAGAGGCTGAGCAGCCGGTGCCTGCGGAACGGGGCCGCGCCTTTCAACGAAATACTCAGCCGCGGAGCATTTTGTGGACAACCCTGAAGAAGAAGCCTAGGGTCCCAGTGGGAGGACCGACCCACCGCTGCCGCCCTAGTCTCTTGAAGCCGGCCCCCAAATCAGAAAGGGTTGACAGCCTCCTAGCCAAGGTGACCATAACACAGTCAACCCTAGAAGAGAAAGAAGGAAAATGGGGCCCTGCCCTATCCTGCGTCTCTAACCCAGGGCAGTCTAGGAGGGTTAACTATTCCTGACAGAAACTTGCGCAAGAGCCAATAATGTCCATTGGCCCAGTATTAGCCATGTGACTTTTGCCTTATTCTCTCACTAGAGGGGCAGGGCCGAGGCTTATTTATCTACAACTTCATCCTGAACTTTCAGTTTTTAAATATTTACCAATTGATCTCTTATTAATACATCAGAAGCCATTGCTGTCTAGAATGACTCTGCCCTTGGAAATGAGGCTTGAATCACTCATGATTCCTCCTCCAGCACAGTTTTCAGCCCTGCAAAAAAAGTCACCTTGCCCATATGCGCTGCCCTGCAAATATACATATCCCTCTCTCCCTGCGGGTAACCTTTCTCTAAACTTCCCTATTGAAATGTGTGCCTTTGGTTACCTCCTTGTTCTCCAAATACAAATCTGTAAAATAACTTGAAATGCAGTTATTACAAATAGCTTATTGCCCATTTTCTGATATTTATATATTTTTAAAACTATAGGTACTAGGCAGCTTTTTTTTCCCCATAGTAATCTGCTATTAGTTTGATTAAGTTGACCCAAAAGAGAATGTTGATTGAAAAAGAGAATAGCTGCAACATTTTCTAGTGGGAAGAATGCTTTCCAAGCAGTTAGACATGCTCAGTAAGAACAGAAATGCACATTGAGCACAAATGGAATTTTCTTTTCTTTTTTTTAGAGAGGTTTTTGCCATAGGGCGCATGCGCTCACCAGATAGCGACAGAAAGAGAGACAGCGAGAAATCACCCCCCAGGGCGGATAGCCACGCCACAGTCCCTTCTCCATTCTCCTCTCAGGATCTTGGGCATGCATGCACATGCACCCGGAGTGAGTTTTAAGCCATCGGGTCCAGGACATGAACCATGGTCGACTACATGGGAGTCCAGCGACATAGCCATTACGCTAACTGCTGGTCCCAAGAATTTATTCAAGATGGAAAATTAAGATATTATATACAAACTAAGTAGATTATTATACAAAGTAACCAAAAATATGTCAGCAGAAGAGGCTTACTTAAACAATAAATTATTCTAGTTAGTCAGCTTCAAACTAACATACTAGCCAAACCAACCTTAAGATGAATTTTTCTGGCACAGTGATAATACTGCTCAAGAGAAGCTGGGTCCCAGTCAGTGATGCAGTTTGAATGCCCCACTTGTAGCCTGAAACATGCCCACCATACAGTCAAGAGTGTCCAAGATTCTATGGGCTGGAGAACTGGAGGATGGAGTTCACAAAATGACCAGACCCTGCGGAGGGTGCTTCTTTCTTACTGTCATGTGCATGTGCACACAGTCTATCATGAATAAAGAAAATGCAAAAAAAAAAAAAGATAAAAAAAAGATGGATTTCTAAATAATGTCATGTGAGGGTGTGTGTGCATGTGTGTGCGTCTGTACTGTAAGGAGAGAATTTCTGGCTGGGCATTTGCTACTAAAACTTAAGTTCATTTAGACTCAGAGAACCAAATAAGGACAAAATTTTATGTAGTGTGCATAAACCTATTACAGAGTGTACTGACAGTTCTTAAGGGATTTATTCATCAACTTGATATAATTGAGTTCATTAAATGTCCTTTACATTGCTTCCATAATTACAAACAATGATATAGATAATTATGACTTGACTATCTTTTTCTAGCATCTGAACAGTTTACCGTTATGTTACAGTGCAATTGGATCAGTCATAACTTTCTTTTGCAATGCATTCTAGTCCCATTTTTGACCAATGGTCTTCATCAGATTTTTGTGAAATATTTTGACTTGAATAGCATTTTCTATTTTTTCAAAATCCTAAAAAAATACTTTTTAGCTAGTAAAAATATTTTATTGTGCCTACCAAAATAATTGCATATTTTATAAAGTCCTTTTAAATGCATAATCGTACTATGGGTACATATAAGACTGACAGATTGAATATTAGCTAAGTAAAGGAAAGCTATTTGTAAATTTATAAGAATTTTAATGGTACTTGGGAAAAAGACTATCATTGACACCTAGTACCATCTTAGGAACAACTTCTTACAAAAGTGGGTAGAGGTGAACCCATCATAGGAAATAGTAACTATATATTCAGCATACTTCAGAGTAGTTACCTTTATTGACATCTCTACCCAAATCACATCTTTAGAGACTTGACAAAAGAAATATAAACATAGATTGAGCCTTCTGAGTGTCCTCGTACTGACTCAGATTTGGGTGAAACATAATGGGATAAATCCTACCTTCCCCAAATATTTAAATTTGCCTTATCTTTGTCAGGTGTGTTCATCTTTTGCTACGGGTCCCAGGCAACATGATGGAACACTGTATGAATTTCGTACTTACTGCCTTAAACCTTCAAAAATGAATGAGTTCCTGGAAAATATTAAGAAAGTCATTCATCTTCGGACAGCTCATTCTGAATTGGTTGGATTCTGGAGGACAGAATTTGGAGGCAGAATGAATAGAGTGTTTCATATTTGGAAATATGGTATGAGCTTTTCAGCTTAAGTGCTCTATACTTAAGATTTTCATTCCATTATATATTACATAAGATACAGCTCTCAGATATATATAAATATAAATACATATAGGTTAAGAAAAACTTTACAAGCAAAACCAGAAAATAAATTTAGTAATCATATTCCCAGTGATTCACCTCTAATTAGCCTTTGCTTGAACTCTTATATTATCATAAATGGGAAAACGTGGCGTCTCATGTTTCAGATCATAAAATTGCACTAGATTTTAATTAGCAGCAGAATTTTAGAATGGCATATTGTGAAGGTATATATAAAAAACTTAGAGCAGTGATTGCAAAAGTCCAAGTGGATTAAGATTCCAAAAAGAAAAAAAAAAGTATCTTTTCTTCCTACAGTCAGGGTTGGACATCGGTGTTTTATTGAGAGTAGAAATAATTCAGACGTTTAGGAGTCGACTTTGGGAAAATGGAGATTGACAGAAGTCAATGGTTATCATTTTTTTTACCCCCAGGAATTATTTTTATTTCATTTCTTTTGCCATTATTATTTTTCAGTTTGCTACAGAGCACATCTGCTCACCAGAGAGAGAGAGAGACATGGTGGGAGGGGGATGGTGAGTGAGAAAGCAAGGGGGTGGGGGAGTGAGAAAGCAAGCTGCCAGGTCTGGAACTCAAATCATGTGGGAGTTTAGCACCTTAACCATCCATCATACCACTTGCTGGCCAGGATGGTTAGCTTTTAAGCTTCATCCAAATCTGATATTTAATAGTACTGGCTGTGTTTAAAAAACACTTTTTTTATTTCTGTATCACAAATTTTTAAAGAATTTATTGTAATTCGAGTCTGAGAAAGTAAAGGAATTAGAGTTCTTCCCATTTTGAAGTTGACTTATACCTGATTCAGCAGAGGAAAGAGAACAAGTTACAGTAGTCCCCACAATGCTTATTACTCTATTGTCTAAATAGTCCACATCAGGACTTGATGATCTCCAAAGAGATTTTTAATCATTTCATTTAGTGGGAGTGATCAGCATTTAAAGTTAATAGTCATAAAAGAATTTAACATAAAAAGCATTTATTCGGAGGACCAGGAGTTAGCATAATGGCTATGTCGATGGATTCCCATGTAGTCGACCACGGTTCGTGTCCTGGACCCGGTGGCTTAAAACTCACGCCAGGCGCATGTGTGTGCATGCCAAGATCCCGAGAGGAGTGCGGAGGAGAAGGGATTGCGGCGTGGCCATCCCCCCTGGGGGGTGATTTCTCACTTTCTGTCTCTCTGTCTCTGTCTATCTGGTGAGCACACGCGCCTGAAAGCAAAAACTTCTCCCCCCCAAAAAAGGGCCTTTATTCTGTACTTAACATGGTCATTCCTTTTTTTTTATTTAGTTTGCCAAAGGTCTTAGGCACTCACCATAGAGAGACAGAGAGGGAGAGAGTACTCATGATGGAGTGTAGTCACAATCCCTCCTCCTCTTCCATCAGGCATGCATACACATGGGTCTAGTGTGTTTTTCATGCCACCAGGCCAAGGAAGTATTTTGTTTTGTTTCCTAAGAATTATTTAGTTTTATTTATTCTTATGTTTTAATTCATCAGAGAGGGGGAAAGAGGGAAACTGAGAAAGCAAGTCACCAGATCTGGGACTCAAACTGCAGTTAGCCATGTGAGTCCAGAACCTTAATCACCTTAGCACCTACTGCCCTGGGGCCATGATTTGAACTGTACAATTGACTATGTGGAGTCTAGCTCCATTAACCACAAGACCACAGAGCTGACCCATTCTTGTTTTCATGCTATAATAAAACAAGCCTGTTAAATTATAATTTATGCTTTAGATATACTGTAAGTTGAATCTTGCCTCATTTAAGTAAGCTTTTATAACTCACTTAAGCAGTATGATAGATGTTATTCCTTCTCCTTAAAATAAACCATGTAAAACTTATATACCATTAGAAGGCCTTGATAGTAAATATAGTATTAGGCTCATATTTGGTAAATATATATGCCTGTTTGGGTAACATAAGCAGGAGGGAAATAAGTAAAATACTGGAAGAAAAGAATGGTTAACAGAGAGTAAGAAAATAAGCACCATATTTTTGGAAGTTGTTAGATCAAAGAAGAGACTTAAAAAGTACATCTTAATTTTTGTGGGGGAAAGGATTTTGGTATAGGACGCATGTGCTCGCCAGACAGACAGAGAGAGATAGAGATATACAAAGCGAGAAATCACCCCCCAGGGGGGATGGCCATGCTGCAATGCCTTCTCCTCCATTCTCCTCTCAGGATCTTGGGCATGCATGCACACGCGCCAGGCATGAGTTTAAGCCACCAGATCTGGGACTCGAACCATGGTCAGCTACATGGGAGCTCAGTGACATAGCCATTACACTAACTGCTGGTCCCCAGAAAAGTACATCTTAATTTCATTTGTGTTAAATTTGGTTTAACAATACCTTGACCTGATAACTAACCAAAAGTACCACCAAAGAATTAAGGCTTTCTTAAACTAGTACTATACATTGAATGCCTCCGTTAATAAGAATAGTTACCATATATTGAGACTAAGGTGCCAAACACTGTTCTAAACTCCTTTCTAATTCATTTAATCTTCACAATGATCCTGGAAGTAGATATTATAGTTTATATGTATTTCATAGAATAAAAAACTGAGGTAGACAGGATTCAGTAACTTACCTGCCTACTAAGTGGTAGCTCCTATAAAAGCACATATGACATTGCAATTAGTTCTTCACACATCTATTTTGCATTTAGACTGAGTGACTTGTCCCTTCTTCATTCTCCTCTTGAGATTTTGGGCACACACGCATAGATGCCTGGTTTGATTTTCAAGCCACCGGGTCTGGGTCTCAAACCATGGTTGGCTATGAGGGAACCTCTGTGCCACCTGCTAGATCCAATTGTCACTTACTATTTAAGTTAGTATTTCCAGTGGCATAACACAGGGTTCCTATGTCCCCTCAATGAATGTTTGCTCTCCATGAAAATTCAAATATACAGGTGATTTTAAACAGAAAATCTTTATTTTTCTTAATTCTTTCTTCCCATAGATAATTTCACTCATAGAACTAAAGTTCGGAAAGCCATAGCAGATGATAAGGAATGGCAACAAGCTCTTACACCAAATTTGGCTCACATTGATATACAGGAGAATGAGATTGCTTATCTGGTACCATGGTGCAAAATAGAAAAGCCTCCAAAAGAAGGTAAGCTGTTTCTCTTAGTCACTTGGAGAATTTTTTTTTTCTTTAATTTTTTAAGTTCATTATATTTATTTCTTCCATGAGCAGGAGACACAAAGAAACAATACCCCCAACAGGGTCTTGATGATTATCTCCACCCACAGCTTCAACCACCCCTGGATCATAGGCTTGCCTATACCCATCCTATTCAGGGAGGTCTCCATGCAAACCCAGAATCCTCCCATGTAGGTCAGCCCCACTTAATTTTTACTGCCACACCACCATTCTGCCCCTTGTCACTTTGATCTTTGATGAGTAAACCACTAGAAATCTAAAGCTATGAAGACTAAAGTTCCATGATGGGGGAGGAGAAGTTGATTATTTTTATTTATATGGTGAGTATGAAGATAAAAATTAATTTGAGCTCTTTGATTATTCTTAAAAATGAAATGTTTTTCCAAATTGGGATCTTACCAATTCTTAAAGTTTATCTATGTTATATTAAAGGTTGACATGGGTAGTAAAAATGCAGAAGGGATTGGCAGCAAGGAAAATGGGTATAGATAGGTGAGGGGTAGTTTATGAAATTTTGTCTAGCTTTAAAATACTATAAATTTTAAATATGAAAGTATTTTTCACAAGTTCACCAGATCTTAAATCATTAAATACACTTTTACTTTTAAGACTGACTGAAGGAAATTAATTAAATTAATGAGTTATATTATTATAGTTTTTTATATTTTTTATATCTTCCTTTTTCTTGAAAGTCTCAGTTTTAAAGTAATTCTTAAGATTTGTCTTCTTGCTGACTTCATTTATTACTCACTTAAGGAAATAATTAGTTCAATCTAGTTTTTTTTCTCCCCATAGGTCACATGGGCTTGCAGGAGAGAGACAGAGAGAGAGAAAATGAGAAATCACCCCCCAAGGGGGTGGCCACACTGTAGTCCCACCCCGACATTCTCCTCCTGGGATTTTAGGCACATATACACACACACATGCACCCAGCATGATTTTCAAGTCATCTGGTCTGGGACTCAAACCACACAGTCGGCCTTATGGAAATCCAGCACCTTAACCACCATGTCACCTGTTGGCCCCTATCTCAATCTAGTTTTAAATATAGATCAGAAGAATATAGACACATTTAAATGTTATTTCCCCCACTATTCCTAACTTTATATTCTCTTTTAGATTATAAGAGATTTTAAAAGCTTTATTTGAATGTAATACATTTCAACTTCCCCTCAACTTTCAGCATTGTCTAAACAAAGTAGTTGGCTTCTTGGAAGATGTCAGATCTTGGTTCTCTACCTTTATGATGTTCATAAATCACCAGTAACTTTGTACCTTTTTCCTTTTTCTTGTCTAATCTACTTGTTCCAACGTTTCTTTCCATGTATACCATACTTCAGACCAAAAGTAAAATACTTTCTAAGCATTTACCATGATGATTAGAAACAATAAAGCTATTTCCTTCAGCATTTTTATTAATGTGAACGCTTTATAAGTATGACTGCATAAATACATAGACATGCTATGATCCTCCAAATATGTATATACAGGTTAGCCTTTTACTGGAACTAAGCAAACCTATGGGGTTGTTGGAAAAGTCATGACACAATTTTTTCTGTTTTCCTATCCAGAAAATACATCATGATTTTCTGATGACCCAATAATTAAAAATTGCTTGATTATCTTCTGTAAAATAATTCTTTTTTTATCCCTACTCTAGGAGTCTATGAACTCGTCATTTTTGAGATGAAACCTGGTGGGCCAGCTGTGTGGGGTGATGCATTTAAAAGGGCAATTAATGCACATGTTGATTTAGGCTACACGAAATTAGTTGGTGTTTTCCACACAGAATATGGAGCACTCAACAGAGGTACAGTTGTCCATTTGTTCTATGAAATTACAGTTTGTGTCAGTAGCCTACTAAGTGTCTTGGGTCAGTCTGGCTCTTTTTCATTATGGTGTCTTTTTTTCATTTTTACAGCCAAATTTTTTTAAAAAACTGGTTTACATCTTATTTATTTAGAATGTTGGTACAGGTTGAACATCCATAATCCAAAAATGCAAAATTCAAAATGTTCCAAAATTCAACACTTTTTAAGAACCTACATGACAATACAAGTGGAAAATTCTACTCTGGACTTAATGTGATCTGTTGCAGTCAAAACATGGCACTATAAATATGTTGTATATAATTATCTTCAGGCTACGTGAATACTAAAGCATATAGAACATATAAATGAATTTTGTTTTTAAGCTTGGGTCTCATCCCCAAGATATCTTATTATATAGATATACAAACATTCCAAAATCTAAAAATATCTGAAATCTGAAACATTTCTGGTCCCATCTATTTAGGATAAGGGATTTTCAACTTATACCTTACAAAGGTTTTTTTCAAAGACTGAACTGCTGTTTTTCATTATATATCAAAATAATAAAACTTAAAAACTGGAGGGAATTTGGCACATACTATTCCAATAAATGGTACTAGTAGTTGTCATCAATGTTGTTATTGTAGGTATATACATAGGTGCTCTTTAATGAGACTTATGTCAACTTTATGATGAGGGAATGCTGGAAACAATATGACATGACTATGTAAAAAATATAATACACTAATAAAC